ACTGATCAGCCCAAATTATTCCTCGATTGTGTTCATTTATCAGATCTTTGAAATTCTATTTTTACAAATACAATTCAGTAAAAAAGTTTTACTCACCCTCACACCATCCCATATTCATGATATTAGTCACAATTGCACTGAGTTGCATTGCATCCTTATCCTCTCTCCCCCCAAGTTATGCTTGATGATGCTTTGATATGTTGTGTTTTTTTGCTTTGCCACATTATTCATTGTTGTTACCCTGCATATTGTTTTTGAATTGCTTTGAGAATCATTGCGTTGCAAAAGACATGATGTCTTGTTTGCCAAATTGTTCGCCACTTGTTGGCGGATGGATTGCTGTCTCGAAATTCGTGCACAGCAATCCACTTGGCAGAATTTTGCAACAAGCCATCGCTGGCAACTTCTGTTTACCCTCTAGGGTTGTCAGCACCATATGGCTCCGTTTCTGCAAACCGTAGGCGCCAAATGCCAGTTTGAGGATAGGCGCTTACTCATTGACACTTGCAATAATACTTGATCATTGTCCATTGTTTTGATACCATTGTTTTATTATGTAATAACCTATCTTAAACAAAATAAAGCCATGACAGATACTGCCATTCTGAATTGCTTATTCTTTCGAGATAATTGCAAGTACCGCCATGTGCGGTAAATGCCAGTTATCGAAGAAGAATTGTCTAAGCGCGATGACTCCTCTGTCCTCAACCAACTTTCCAAAATAGCCCCAAGTCATAAATGCGCTTTCGCACACATCCGTTCCACTTCACCGATTTTGATCACCCACCCACCCCCACCATTTTATCTAGATTAATATTCTTCATCTACTTCACACAGTTTTTTTCTTTTTCACCGATCATCCATAAAACCTGCTTACATATACCAATCATCCCTAAAAACTGCTTACATACGAGTATATACATCACTCTATTCAGTTACGTGCGCGGATATACATACATATAGTCTTTTTATCATAGGTATGCTAGGGCATAAATATAGTGTATTCAAGTTTTATTAGTTTTCTTCTGTGTTTCTGCTGTTATCATTTCTGATTCCAGTGCAACATCGTCCTTCGTCATGGCTTTAGAGACCCTTCCAGGCTGCAATCCATGCCGACGCACTACAGAATTTTGCAACAAGCCATCGCTGGCAACTTCTGTTTACCCTCCAGGGTTGTCAGCACCATATGGCTCCTTTTCTGCAAACCGTAGGCGCCAAATGCCAGATTGAGGATCAGTGCTTACTCATTGACACTTGCAATAATACTTGATCATTGTCCATTGTTTTGATACCATTGTTTTATTATGTAATAACCTATCTTAAACAAAATAAAGCCATGACAGATACTGCCATTCTGAATTGCTTATTCTTTCGATATAATAGGCCTCTTCAGGTGTACTGTACAACATGTATATCATCAGAAGCAGTGTAAATCAGATATTCAGATATGGATACTCAACAATTACAAGGGACTTAGAAGATTTAAAATAATTATCATTTTCCTAAATTATTCATATCAAGCTATTCAACTTGTCAACACTTATACAACCATTTACCACGATAAATTAACTCCAGACTTTTTTACATCCATAACAGCTTTTTTCTATTTTAATAAACATGTAGCGCGTTAATTTTCCTACCTTTTCATTGACCATTTGTAACATTTTTTTGGTTGAATTAATCATTGTGGTTATACACACACAAGTAAAATTAAGTTGATGTTTAAAAGAACCTAGATTACTGCTTTTTTGATGAAAAATATTTAGTATGTTGTTTAGAAGACCAGATGAAACTCTTTACTGGACATAAACGCGTCCATTCTCTCTCTGTATTACAAAGTTATAAAAATGAGAAGATCAGACTAGGACAAGCATTTCTGAAGCAATGTTGCCAGATGAAAAATATCATCTTGCCCTACCTGCTTCGTTGGTTGTTCATAAAATAAGTCATATGTTGAAGCTAACTATCTTCAAGGAAATTTTTGTACACTAATTCATGTGATTTTTAATGTAATATTCAAACATATTTTAGTGAATGAAAAACAGATCTTGTAAACGTTTTCAGCAGAGTTCATTCATCACAATTAATACGGAATCATGTAACTTTGTATTGGGACTCAGTTGAGCCCTGCTTAATTCAAGTTTTCATTTCACACCTGCAGAAGCGACTTTGTATTATGTTCCAAACGAATTGTCTGACTAATAAGACCCCAAAGGGAAGGACCAATAGGCTTAAGACATTGTGATAACGTAATGATATAAAGTGCTATAAAACTGTACAAAGGTATTATTTGTAGCTAAAATCACAAATAACCAGGAAAAGTCCTAATTTTACGAAATCAACCAATTCATAGATAATGAAACTATTATTGGGTAAGAATTTGATTCACTGTTTAGTTTGATTATCAATTACTGCGTATTTTAGACAACACTTTCAGTCAACGATAACGATAAATTCTGCAATCATTGCATAAATTTTTGATATTTTCTTAATGTGAATTCATCAAGTACATCTTAATTTTATTACTATACGTCAAATTCTATCCAAACTTTGCAATGTTGTTATTAGACCTTCGAAAGACGCATAATAAAGTTCTAAAAATATCCTGATTATTATCATACTTATTTAATAGAATATTTTCCGAAAAAATAACAAAACATGTTTCTTGGATGTTAAAGGCCACAGCTTTAATAATTGTTTCAATGACAAATGTCAGACAAGCATTTAACAATCATTGGGTGCCACACACCTAAATCGATAACGGGCGTTATGGCACCTCGCCTTCTAGGGTAATCCATAGCAAGGCGTAACAATATTTATAAATCGACTCCTAGGGTACCCCTTAGCGAGTCAGCTGGGATATGTAATTGCCTCCTAGGGGATTCCTTAGCGAGGCTACCTGGTCCGCTTGCCTGTCCTGGTGGACTTGGGGGTGACTTGTGACTTTCTGGCTCTAATGGGAGGCATGATTTTTTGCTAAACAGTTCTCGGAGGCTTTAAACAATTATCAAAGTGCAGAACCGCTGGGAACGCTATAGAACAAGAGGAGGAAAACGCCACGTGCGCCCCTCTTTTATACTCGCGGCAATCGGGGGAACGTGTCAAAAGACTTACCCCCTGTGTTTTCGGAAATCAATTAAATGCGTTTAATGAGCAATTGCTTTAAACGACATTATAGTTAAAATATATTCAAAATTCGGATGGCGGAACAGGACAAAATCTCTTAATTTACGATCAAACATTTAAAAATATTTACACTCAAAGCCTGTATAAAATGGCTTAAAAACGGAAAAAATCTTAGACATTCAAATTACGAATTGTTACATCGTTTCATATATCAAATTATGACTTAATATTTTGCTTTGTTAATAAGAAGTTGTTTTCAGAAGGTAGACAGGCCTTTCTTGAAAAAGGCAAAAGGATGACGTTGTACGACGGTTGTCCAGGAAAATCGTGGAAAAAACGTTTTTCTCGGAAAATAATGATCGCACTAAGCTGAAATTCGAAGCAAATGTTTATTTATCATTTTAAAGTGCATCATAATTGTTTTTATAAAACATAAACAAAAATAAAGATTACATTATGCTTGAATGTGCACAGAGTACAGTCGTATACGGCGCACGTTAAAGAATCTAGGGTTTCATTACAGAATAAACAATGATTTTTTTAAATAAAAGTGTTGAATAGATAAAAGTGATTTAAAATTATCCTGTTTTTAATCCATTATCTATAATATCGTCTTTTTAAAAATTTTAGGCATTTGCTTAGTTTTTGGCATTTCCCCCGCGCATTCAATATCGGAAAGTGGTTAACACAACACACGGAAAATCGCGACGTTTGATGACGTTACGCCGCACCGTAGAGTACAAAATATGTAGTTTAGTTTAGTGTAGATGTAATAATGACACCTTAAGAGACTTTTAAGTTTAAATGAATACAGAAGAAAAAATTAAAAATATCACAGCTATATGGTAATAGCTAAAGACGCTGTCACTGCAGACCGTCGATTTAAGATTGCCTTTTCAATTGAATGATAGTGATAATACTATCCTACTGTCCATAACTTATTAATTTACATGTATCTTTAAAATGGTCCCATTTGTACTAAACATTGGTTCCTCGACTGTGCATCAATGAAATTCCTTAATTTGTGTGGGACTTATCCAACTTCTTTTAACAAAGAGGAAACGTGACGCTTCTTCAGAAATTTTGACGTCATCTGTGCACCGTAAGGCGGCAAAACACATAGCATAATTTTTTGTGACATTGTACATTTAGAACGCCATGAGGACATATTGTTCTATTTTGCTCCGTTGTTGCAAAACATGTTGATTTCAATTAAATAACATGATTTCTATTAAATCACATGGAATGAAACTTCATATATCAACAAAATAAAATAAATTTTTGACATTTGATAATACATGTCCTCAATCAAATTTATTGAAGATTGTATAACGAAGATTTGAATGGCCTGCTCTCTTTACGGAATTCTGTATATTTTGGTAAATATATAAATATTTCCTTTTTTTAATTTCCTGTATTTATCTTTCTGCATTCCAACATTAAATTTTGAAAATTATAAGGAAATGCAGACATGAAGTGGTCAATTACAGTCTACAAAATCGTCCCTGTTACTTAAAAGGAAATAATCAATTTGTACATATTATAAGGAAGTTTCGCACTGCTATATTCTTTTCCATAAGAGGAACGGTAATATTTTTTAAATTCAAAATATTGTATTAGAGAAAGGACATCAACAATGTCTGACTGATTGCTACTGTATGTAGTTTGATGCTAGTTTGTAGGATAGATAAAAAAGGTTTGACAAAATTCATGCAATATGTTCAAACAGTGTTATAAAGTGTTTTCTTAAGAGTGTATTAGCACTGCTTCTGTATTTCTAATTTTAATATGCAGATATAACAGCGACACAATATGATTTCATATATACTAGTATGTAGCATGTTTAGTGTTCCTTATAATTTTTCAAGATTGTTCTACAAATATTCCCATCGGAGTTGCAATAGCGATGGGAATTTCAATTGGCATTCTTATTGGCGTATTAATTAGTGTGGCAGTGTTTGAATTCATTAAAAGAAGGATTTGGTTTGAGTCCAGTAGAAGGTATGCATTTTTTCTTCATCGTTCATGCTCTTTTTCTATCATATAATTAAATACGATTAAAATTCTTCATTTATATTTTCTTTGGAAAAAATAAAATTTTTAAAGGAAAAATAAAAAATTAAAATACATCATATATATGAAAGCTTGAAAGATGTTTTGTAGCACATATACACTATATGTGTCTATTTTTAACTATGTGTATGAAGGGCAGCAGATGGTCTGAGTTATGCCGAATATGAAAATGAAGCAATTTCTGAGGACGACATCGATAATAAAGTATGAAAAAAACCAATTCTTATCAATTTTAGTAAATGTTAATAGTATTCGCCAACATCATTCATAAAAAAAATATTCTTTTAGGCCAAAGAGGATTACCAAACTCTGATAGAACAGCATCACAAATCTACTCAACTTATACAAACCACAGGCGAACCTTTTAAGTTTGAAGAAAAACAGCGAGGGAGATACAAGAAAAGTGATCGCGATACGTACATATCTATTGATGAAGCAGACTGAATCGGCAAAAAAGACAAAAATTCTATGTATACAGACAAACAAGACGAAGAAAAACCCGAAACTATTTGCTATTCTGACAATGCTGTAAAAAGAAACAAGAATCGTGATACATATCTTTCTCCTGCTGAAGTAACACACGACGGCAAAAAAAAATCATGCTTTCAGTCACACATGCGCACAGGAAGTAGGATATGGGAAATACCATCGTGACACATACCTGTCTATCGGGGAAGCAACTCAAGACACTAAGAAAGACAACATATTAGTATACCCCGCCAAACAGGGAGATGAATACAGGAGAAGTGATACCTATCTAGCTCTTGACGAAGCAACAAAAGACGATTTCAGTCCTTCGACAGTCGATCATTACATGTTTTTTGCAGGCAACACGGTTAGTCATTTGGACGTGTAAGAAGAATACTTTGAAGTCGTTTTATTTTGTGGATCAATATTCAAGGATTAGAAAATTTTTAATGATTGATGTGGACATAATTTTGGGGGGTTAGTCCTTAATACAGAAGACATAATTAAAATAACAAAATGATGATAATAACAGCAAGAGAACGTTAATTATAATGAAACAACGCATTCTTCCAAATATGACGCTATTTTGCACATGTTAAGTTTAACTAATTGATGAAAATTTCTTTATAATTATATATATTTTTTTATTTCAAGAACCCAGCTCAATAAAGTAAATAAAAAGTGTGCTTAAATATAACAAAATAAAAATGTACATGCATAGTTGATAAGAAATGTGTTTGTTGTATGATTATCAAATTTAGATAAAAATAGAAGATATATTAAAATCAAATGAAACATATAGACATATTAAACGTTATTCAATATCTAAAGTCCATAAAACAGTACATAATAGGAGCAGAGCAAACACGAACCTCCGAAACATTAGAAATGGGAGGAGTGAGCATCCCCTGCCGACCGGTCACTCCCGCCGTGTGCTCCTTGTAATGATCGGGAAATAACGGAAAAATCCGTCGTCAATTCAGTGTATAAACAAATGGACTAAGAATTGATATGAAAAACTTCAGTTAGCATTTGACTCAATGATAAATTGTATTTACTGACAAGGTCATTGTATCGACTAAAGAACTTACCAAATGACGATTTTAAACAAATCTGCTGATATTCTTGTTTCATCAACTTATTTGTCAAAAATTTTCCTCGTTTAAGAAATTATTCATATCTAGAGCATGCTCTTGTGTATCGAATCAACTGAAATACATAAACTCCGTATGCTATATTGCTGCATAAGTATGGAAATTGGACGATAGAAAAGTTAAAGTCATCCCGTTTTTCATAGAGCTTGGTTGTTAGGTTATCATTAACGTCTTTTTCAAGTAAAATATCCAAATATGAAACAGATGTGTTAGACTCTGTGGTATCTCTTATCTCAAACTCACCAGGATATATCGTATCGACATATGAATGGAAATTACAATTGTTAATTGACAATACGTTGTCGATATATCTAGATGTCAAGTTAAAGCGATAGCAAGTCTTTTCTTCTTTTCACGCATAAGATTTTGCACAAATTCTGCTTCAAATAAATACAAAAATAGTTCTGCTAATAACTGGACGGAATTCCTATCCATAGGGATTTCAAGAGATTGTTGGAAGACCTGGTCTCCAAAAGCAACATATATATTTTCAATCAGAATTGAACTCAAGCATCTTTTTGATGTCGACTTCAGAGTACTTCTGTGTACAGTCAGAATGTTTTTAACAAAATAAATTTGCAAATGACTAATGATAAGGTAAGTAAAATTACGAGTCCAATTTTTATTGAAAAAGCATCTGTCAATGATATCAAAAAGCCTTGACTTTAATTTATCGTGGAAAAATGGTTGTGCAAAAAGTTAAAAGGTCGCAAGTTTTTAAGCTGTTCATTTTGGTAAAATCTTGTGATTTCAAATTGTCCAAAAGTACCATGGAGTTTTTAAGTATCCACATCTGATGTACACCTATTGTTGAACATATTGTTGCACAGTACTCTTGAAGTTTCTCTTACACTACTGTTAATATCTTAGTGAGGAGTAAAGAAAGTATTAAACTATTTCTCCTAATACTACTTCTACTATATGAATATTCATAAAATCGGCTAATATACAAGGAGTTAATGGAAGAAAACGAGCTTACTTTATTTGTGAACACTCCGAAACATAGAACATGAAAACAAAAGGAAACAACTGTTGGTGGTAAAAGTAGAACGTTTTTGTAAACTCTGCTTTCATCTGTTATACAATCACAAAGAAAATGATAGCTGTAAAAAAAAGTAGGAAGGAAGAAATATAATAGTTTAAGCTATATGCATTATTCATAAAAGAGTACATTGAAACTGCATGTGAAGCACGCACTTAAAATGCAACCTCATTGTATGTTAATATGCTTACTTAAATTTTTCAAATTTGTTTCAATAAGCTTGTCGACTGATTTTGTAATCCATCAAAGATTAAAATGAAATAAATAGAAATTACGGACAGTATTCAAGCTAAAAAATCCATTAAACAATATATTTTTTTAGCAAAGCAAACACAGATCTTTGAAACATCAGAGGTAGGATCAGGTGCCATGGAGAGGTAGCATCCCATGCCGATCGGTAACACCCGCCGTGTGCTCCTTTTCGTGATCGGAAAATAGTGGAAAAATTTATCGACAATTAAGTGTGTTGATATTGACCTAACAATTATTTTGAAAAACGTCAGTCACCATTTGATCAAATGTTAAATTGTATTGCTGACAAGGTCATTGTATCGACCATATAACATTAAGACTGCTGATATTCTTGTTAAATCAACGTGTTTGCTAGTAACTTCGTTTTAGAAATGGTTCATACGTAGAACATGCTCTTTAGTATAGAATCAACTGGGATATTTCAACCCGTATGCAAGAAATACAGATATATTGCTGCAGAAGTAAGGTAAGTTGGCGATTGAAAAGTTAAAATAATCATATTCATCATTAAGCTTTGTAATAAAATTAACATAATCGTCTTCTTCCAGTAAAAAAAACCCCAAATATGAAACAGATATGTCAAACCCTGTTGTATCTTTTACTTCAAGCTCAGCGTGGGTATATAGTGTCGACATAAGAATGGAATTAATCATTGTAAATTGATATTACTTCATCAATCTATATGTTGAGTTGAAGGCAACAGCAAGCGTTTTCTTCTTTTCACGTAAAATATTTTAAACACATTCTGCTTCATATGAATACAATATTAGGTCTACTAATAACGGGGTGCAATTGAAATCCATAGTAATTCCAATACATTGTTAGAAGACAAGAAACCAGATAGATACTGTCAATTAGAAACTCGAGCATCTTTTTTAACATCAGCCCCATATTACCTGTTTTTACAATCATGCAGAATATTTATCAACAATATAATTTTGCAAATGACCAACGACAAAGTAAGTAAATTTACAGGTTCCATTTTTGTTGAAATTATACAATATGACATTCATTGCTAACTTTTTATTATTTTCGTACTAATATATAAAGGAAAAATGTAATCGTTGACATAATCATCAACAGTGTTTATCAAGTCTTGCGGAAAACCATCTAAAATGGTTCCCACCCAAAGTTGTCAGATATAGTTTGGCGAATTTGATAGCCGGGTCGCGACTGACCCAAGTTTATAAAAATTAGGTATAAACTGCTCCCTCGCCAAAATGAAGTTCAGGTCTTTCTGACGAGACTTTATAAAACCGAGGCCCTGTATCACGACCTACGTTGACACGATAAAGATTCATCAATGAAACTGAGTCCCGATAAAAGGTCCAAATTTTAAGCCCTTCATCGACATCGGGGGACATCTCTTTATGAGCGAAAAATATCGATAAGGACATAAAACAACATTAAATCAAATAATCGTCTGAAAAGAAATCTTTTGCTCCAATAATAGATCCTACAAAGTGATTCCTATAATCATTAATTAATTTTTGGACATATAATAATTCTTTATACATATAATATATGAACAAAATTATTGAATTTACTGAGATTGCAGCACCCCTGTTATTTGATTTTTCTGTTGAAAATATACATATCGGAACCTTTAGAAAGTTCACAATTGTTCGAGCACAACCTGATAAATAATTCATCCACAATCTGATGCCTCTCAAAATATGTTATTGCATGTCATAGTTTAGAAAATCTTGATTATGACTTTCCCCTTCTAAAACACTACATCAAATTTATTTCACTTTTAAGTATTTTTGTTTTAACTTCATGTCTAAGCATATTTATATTCAAGTTTTGTAAATTAACTCGAAAATATACAACTAAATCTTTGTATTATAACATAAAACATTACATACATTTGCCTAAGGATGTTTGATTATAATATCTCTTAAACAAGCTGAAGATTATCTTTTGCTTTAAATCCTACCTAAATCTTTTGCCCAAAAATCAATGCAGATTAATCATAACAAGGTGCAAGTAATCAGCACAAAGGGTTTAAAATTTGACGATATTCAAAAATTAACAATTATTTTTCTTTTTGATCATAGTAAGGTTCAGAAGTCATTTTCTTCTTGTACGTGTGTCCTCATTTTAGTATTCAAAGACATAAACTCATTGTAAGATGTAAGAGAAAGTGTTAAAAATTTCAATATCTATTGAATCAATCAATCAATGATAGTACAATTGTTTGATTAATGATGCTTGTTCTATCATTGAGATCCCCAAGGAGACTTATCCTGTTTGTAAATCCTACTCCTCCGGGGGCTTAAATTAAACTTATAAAATCTTTACTTGTATATATCTTTTCCAGGCACGTAGCAACACTCGTTGCAAAAGGGGATGGGGCTGCCCCCCTTATTTCCCAATACTACTTTCACTATTGTGTATTGAAAGGCTTGTTGCACCCCCCCCCCAACACACACACACTGTTTACTAAAATAAAGTATTAAGAAGGAAATGTAGTACTATATGCCAAAAATTGGTATGGAAAGGAATTTGGCATTTAAAAAACTTGCCTCTAACTCTGAGCAATAATTTAGTTCATAAAAAGCATTTTAGATCGTCAATTTTCCATCGTTGCAAAACATCTTAAATGTTGTGTCTTCCTTGTTTGGTTCTATTAATTGTTTTATTACTTTAAATAGGGTTTGACATAAACTAAAAAGCATAAACCGAACTATTTTCCTTATGTTCGGTGTTTCGCCATCCTGGTATCATTCATGTAACCCCATCATCAACTTTGTTTGTATATCCTCTTTGTCGTGAAATACGTGTTTGTTCATGTATGTCCATGTATACATGTATTGCATAAAGCTAATATATTTTCCATTTTCTTTGAAAAGTATGTTTGATTCTGTGCAAATGGATGACATGTATTTGAATATAAACAGCAATAGGGAAAATATTAATTTTTTAGGATTTTTAAGGAATTCGTAGAGGATGAAACTATTAATAGGTAAAATTTTGAAATATGGTACAAAAAATTAATATATTAT